AGAAGATGCTCCATAGTGTGTGATTGCCCGCATTGGCAGTTGGGAGCCTCATCGATGTTATATCCCCATTTCTGAAAGTTGGCTCTACAACCACCAACAGCTGTTCAGATATGATTCAAGCAGGACCAGAGGAGATAAGCATCACGGGAGCTAGGTGGGGGATTCTTTAGGGCAGAGAGAGAGAGAGAGAGAGAGAGAGAGAGTAAGAGAGAGAGAGAGAGCCTTTGTTCCATATTGTTAATGTAGCTGCTTCACAGGGACACTGGTTAGGATATCTGTTGTTCAGTGTAGCAATGTGATCTTATTTGCTGAGAAGTTAGGAACGGTGACATTAATCGAATAAGCGTCAGATATTCTATTGACCAGCTTAGGAGAATTAAAACTGCTGTTTCGAATCAACATTAAAAATTGATTTTTTTTTTCTGAAACTTGAGCAATAATTTTAGTAATCTGCAAGACATGTTTAATTATTTTATCATTTCAACCCAAGCAAGGCAATAACGCCACTAATATGCAAGGCTGTATTGTTCTTATTGTCGCTGCACCACATTAATCCAGTGTTGTACACAAAGCCTTACCTGGGGTGTTAATGTTTCATAGTCGTTAAGCGTGCATGGATCTTCAAAATTACGACAAACTAGATGTTTTATAGTTTGTGATTGCCCGCATTGGAAGTTGGGATCATTATCGGTAGCATATCCCCATTTCTGAAGGTTGGCTCTACAACGACCAACAGCTGTTCTGAGGCGATTCGGGCAGGACCAGAAGGGCCAGGCATCACTATAGCTAGGGGGAGAGGGATTCTGTAGAGATGAGAGATAAAGCCTGCGTTCCACGTTGTTAAGGTGGCTGCACCACGGGGACAGACGCTGACTAGAAGTTCTGTTGTTTAGTGGTTCGACTGAATGTAGAAAGCTAGAGTGGGTCTGTTTCCTGCCCTCAAACTTCTTTGGGGACCACAGAAAGGAGCGTTCTTGTCTCGGTCCCTGTCAGATGAGTTCTATCATTTGCCAATCTTTCCCCGCAGGCTACACTACACGCTATGAAGTGTTGTAACAGAGAACAGAAAATACGACAGCAAAATCTGAATAATGAAAGATGCCTTCCAAAAGTTAAGCAACGTATTAAGAAACAGGAAATGTTCGTTAGAAACAAAGAAATGAGTACTGGACTGTTATGTAATACCGGTCGTCCGATGTGTCAGTGAAAAATGGACAATCTACATGCAGATGAAGAAGAGACTTGAGGCAACAGAGATGTGGCTCTGCAGAAGGATGCTGAGAATACCATAGACGGAAAATGTGAGCAACGACGAAGTTTTAGAGAAAATGGAAACAAAAACGACACATAGAATCAGAAAAAGACAACTGAAATTTCTAGGACACATAATGAGGAAAGAGGGCTCGGAAAATATAACATCCAAAGGACATGTTGAGAGCAAAAGAGCTTGTGCAAATGTTTGACGGAAAAGGGATTGTAAGAGATAGCAAAATGGCAAATATTGCAAGGGAAAGGCGGTTGTGGAGGACTATAATCGCCAACGTCCTGTATGGACACGACACATAAAAGAAGATTTAAGTTTTAAAGTCAATATTTCTAGTATAGGAATGCATTGCAAATGATTTTATTATAAGAATGCATTACGAATCATTTTACTATAAGAATGCATTGCAAATGATTTTACTATAAGAATGTATTGCAAATGATTTTATTATAAGAATGCATTACGAATCATTTTACTATAAGAATGCATTTCAAATGATTTTACTATAAGAATGCATTGCAAATGATTTTATTATAAGAATGCATAGCAAATGATTTTACTACAAGAATGCATTACGAATCATTTTATTATAAGAATGCGTTGCAAATGATTTTATTATAAGAATGCATTGCAAAGCATTTTACCTAAGAATGCATTGCAAATGATTTTACTATAAGAATGCATTGCAAATGATTTTACTATAAGAATGCATTGCAAATGATTTTACTATAAGAATGCATTGCAAATGATTTTAATATAAGACAGCATTATTAAGGATTTTATTATTAGAATGCATTGTAAATCATTTTACTATAAGGATGCATAGCGACTGATTTTCTTGAACAATGCATTTCAAATGATTTCCCTATAGTTTGTGTTGCCAGATTGTGCTATGGTTCAATGTCGAATTCTACTAAATTTTCATTTTTTCTCCTTGTAACATGCAGGTTACTTATTTCAAATAAGCTGGGTTAACATGTTCTACGTAATTAAGTTAAAAATTGGTAGCGTCGGGGTTTCAAATATAGGAAAATTCACTTTCGTCTCTTCTGACAATTTCCTTTAGCAAAAATATTTCTCTTGATATGGGCATTAGTCGGTGATTTTTTTTATCCTTGCAAATTTTCACATGTTCCGTCAATGGAATTATCATTATCCTACTGTAGAACAATATTCTCTCGTCTCAATATCTCCCTCTTGGAGGAAATTCATCAGCATTCATTTCTATATAAGAGGATTGATATTATATATCAGTTCAGCAATTTATGATTTCAAAATCTGAACCCTGGCATCTGATCTAGCTGACCTAGCATTAACAGCTCAGTCAGTGATGTGCCATGCGTGGTAAACACATAGGCGATCATGTATCTTTCAATACATGATTGACGAGGCAGGTTTTTTCTTTCAGTAGGTTGCCATTTTTGCCTTGGATGGGGAGGACAAACTATATATATATATATATATATATATATATATATATATATATATATATATATATTCATGCACGATTCATTAAATAATATAGACAAGTGTTGTCTATTTATTTTATGTAAAATTTTTCGTAACGTCTGATAAGTTTAGTAACATTATCGTTGAACGAAGAAAGAAATTCACAATACTGATCCATATTTTTTAATACAATCTAAACTTTCATTTACATAAGCCATTATCAAAGATGTCAATTCCAACATATTAAACAATATACGGACAAGACAGTGATGATAGTCTGTCATTGTTTACATAGATGATTTCTAAGCAACGATAAACACGTGCATATAAGACGCTAGAAGCGAAAATCGCACCGCATCTCATGATGTCACACATGAACACGCATGAGTGAATTGGAGAAGTATGAAGTATGGGAAGCCGTTGGTATAAACCAATGGCTTCTGTTACCAATTACAGACATTTAAGAATATTTGTAGAGATGCCATAATTGATTTTGTTTAGGTTGGGTTTCAACTGTTTGATGTATAATGCTTCAAGGATTTTTAGTTTTGTCTATTGTTTTCAGGTCGAAGTTTAATTGTGTTTCGACAAGGATTTTACGGAATTGTGTGTGCGGGCAGGCATGTTGTTTTAAATATATATAATAACACGAGATTTACCTCGGTGAAATCCAGCGATGATTTATGTATGCCACATTCAATAAATTATGTGCCATGCATGATACACGCTTAAAAGATCATGTTTCTTTCGATACATGACTGACGAGGCAGATTTTTTTCCGCATTATGTTGCCATTTCTTTCTGCGGTAGACCAGTTGCCATCCAAGGCTATAGAACCCAGACCGTCCTGCTATTTACACATAGCTGGAAGGAGAAGAAGAGGATTCACACCTTTCCCAAGGGTATTAGCACGTAAGTGAATGTAATGGATTCCACTCTGAATTCGAACTCGGCTCTCCGATTCCTCAATCCGAGCTTCTATCCATTACTCCACCGTGCCTCCTTTTTAACAGCTCAGTGGCGGTGGGGTGGGGGGAGCTGGAATTTAGCTGGTTAAAATCAATGTCTCGAAGACTAAACCGCTAAGGTTACATCATCACCTATCGGACCAAGAACTTTCACCAATCGCGACGAACGGATGTTCCTGACGGTTTGCTCTGAGCGCTTCTCAAATTCAACCCGGACCTGAAGTAGGACTCGTACCATCGCTAAAATTGCTGGAATAAATTGTCAGTTCCCTGTACCACACGATTAAGTACCTGACGCCTCCTGCTTTCATCTACCTCTACAAGAGACAGATCAGGTAAAAAATGGAGTAACGCTGGGGTCAGGTGTTGCTCAGTCCTCACTTTCCAATCTTGATAAAGTCCGCCAGTTCGACGAGTTCTAAACTTCACGGTTAGGACCTGCCATGCAGCGCGCATTACAGCGAACAACCATCATTCCCTTCGTATCCCTTCGGTGAAATATAGCTTCCACTCGAGCGGATTCTTCCCACGAGCCACTGCTTTGTGGAACCGACTCCCAAGGTGATGCTTCCTCAACCGTTCTTAACCTGTTCAAGTATAGGGTTAACGGTTATCTTTTTTCCATATATCCGCATAAATCGTTCCTCTTGATTTGTCACCTTCTACCTCGAGGGGTTCTCGGGCCTTGTACGTGAATGTAAAAAAAAAAAAAAAAAAAAAGTCAAGTTTTTGGTGGAATTTTTGAAAATTTTGGATTATTTTACAGCGGATAAAAATGAAATGCTGATTAACATTGTCCTGAAACAGAAATATTAGTGGTGCCAAGCATCCTGAAGATGTTTGGCCGCTGGAGCTGAACTTGCAACTGCCAGCCGATGCAAGGGGGGGCACGACGCCAAGTGGGTGAGTCACGAAAAGTGGGTACTAGAAGCGGGGAGAGATGGGCATGTTTGCCCCTTCACGAGTTTTCGTTTCGACTGTGAAATTCCGTCTAAAATTTCGGTTAGAAATTTAAATATTATCCGGTGGTGCTTAAAATCTCTCTCTGTGCACATAGACACAAATTAACTCGTCCCAGTCAAAGTTGACACGCTAGTAACGACTTTTTAAAAAATATACAGTATATCTATCTATCTATCTATCTATCTATCTATCTATCTATCTATCTTATTATCTGTAACTCTCTCGCGCCTTCTCTCTCTATATCTTCATCACATCATATCTATCTATCTATCTATCTATCTATCTAGCTAGCTAGCTAGCTAACCATCCTATTATCTGCAACGCTCTCGTCCCTTCTCTCTATATATCTTCATCACATGATATCTATCTATCTATCTATCTATCTATCTGCAACTCTCTCGTCCCTTCTCTCTATATATCTTCATCAGATCATATTATCTATCTATCTATCTATATATCTATCTATCCTATTATCTGCAACTCTCTCGTCCCTTCTCTCTATATATCTTCATCACATCTATCTATCTATCTATCTATCTATCTATGTATCACAGTCTATATCTAGCTTGTTATCTCGTTCTGTTTCTATCTGTCAATCTCATCTGAAAAAACAGATGGAGTAAAAACCAACTGTTCGTAGCATTTACTTTTTAAAAAGTGCTCGATAAAAAGTAGAGAAATATATTATTATAGTTTTATTATAAGTGATTATAATAAAAACATTTTGAAATCACTACACAAAAGCTTTTCAATACTATGATTTTTCAGG